TAATTTCTCCCCCCCCCCATTGTAATATGTTTACAACCAATGCTGGGGTCTCCCTGGATAGACCCCCAATCCTGGCAAAGGGTATTCCTTTTATTTTCAGCCCTGCTCGTAAAGCAGACTACTTCTGTCTACTTGGGGACATGTCATTCACCTTGGATTAATATAACTGAAATGAAAGGTAGAAAGCTTTGCAGAATGCCCAATAATAAATATGGCAGATGAACATATTATTGAAAAAAAGAACATTACTTACATTATTTGAAGTTTTCATATTTGATTTGCTTCAGTACTATAGTCTAGATCAGCAGTTCTCAAAATTTTAAAATCTTCCAAAAATATTTTCTTTGATTTTATAATTGAACTTAAAACATCAAACAAACTAGTAAGTCTTTAAAACATTGGGGCTGGCTCTGTTTTTATTGTGTTGTGCCATTGTTCTTGGCTGTGCAAGTGCACATTCTTATGTTTTATAGTTTATTTTATGTGCTGATATATATGAAGTGAGATCAGTTTTCCTTCATTCTGCAAGTTTGCACTAATGGAATAATAACTTTGTTGTCTGTCTAAAATAGACTGTATTTCATAAAGCCTTACATCAGGCTTCCAGAGGATCCAAATGCAGTTCATTCTAGACAACAGACAAACTGGTATGAAATATTACCACCACCTAGTGGTCATTAAACAAAAATAAAATCTCCTGGGTTTCCAAGTATCTGTCTTTATAAATCATTTTTAAAACTTCAACAGATATTTTAATTTAAAAATATTAAATTTTGCATTTGAAGAGATATTTGTATTCTCTGGGAAAATAAAAACACATTCAGAAGAACCAATAAGTATTCCTAGAATGGATTAGAAAGTTGGGTTATACTATAACCATCACCGTCCTTGGCATTTTTCTCTGCAGACTTTCAAATTACTCAGCATCCTTCTCACGCCGGAGCTGGATACAATATTCCAGGTGTATTCTCCCAGTGCAGCATAAAAAAAGGGAATCATCACTTTTCATACTCCTGACTCTACTCCTCTGTTTACATGGACACTTTTAGCAGCTGCAGCCCTGCTAGTTCATACTTAATCTGTAATCTACAGATGCCCAGATTCTTTTTACAAATACTTTTGCTGAGCCAGGGACTGACCCATCTTGTATCAATGTATCTGATTTTTACAACCTAAGTGTACAATCTTATACTTCTAACAACTGAACTGCAAATTGTTGGATGGAGCCCAAGATTCAAGTCAATGAAGAATGTTACAACAGGCCCGGTATAAAATACCACACACAGAACAGCACACACTCTGCTGGAGAGAACTTCCCTGGAGATGGGCTCAAGCACAGAAGACAAAAACCTCTGGTCCCGGTGACCAACCCAGATTGGAAGAATGTTCTAAACATTTGCTGTGCCTTCTGAGGTACTAGTAATTCCCTTACCTTGCGTCAACTGCAAATTTGATAGACTTCCCTTTTCTCCACTTGTCTAAATCATTTATAAAAATGTTGATGAGTGCTAGCCCTAGAAGAGAACTCTGGGTACCTCACTATATACCTTCTCTTGTTCATGTAGACAACAATTCACTAAGAATCAAAGTGAGTGAAGTTATTTAACCAACCGCAAAATTCATCTTGGGGTGGGACTAACCATTCCACAGAATTCCATTTCATCAAGAAAACGGCTACGGTCAACTGACTTACAAATGTGAATTATGTCACTCTTGCCCCTGTACCAGGACTTCAAGTTCTCCCTGTTTGTTCCTCATATTTTGCACATTGATGTACAGGCATCTGAACACTTCAATACTGTCCTTTTTAGCTTGCTTGCTTCATCCCAGATGAAACTATGTGATGAATAATCCAGGGTCATGCCATGCAGGGTATTAATACAGTGAGATGTAGTTATATTTGATTATCTGCTGTATTCTTTTCAAGTGCTGCATACAGCTGCTTTTTTCTACTAGTTTGAAAAGAAAAGGTTCAAGAAATCTTTGAATTCTGCCAAAACTGAAAAGCATGTGCTGATACAAAAAATATAAAACAACTGGCAGACATCCTATAGAGCATGGTATTTGGATCCCATTCACCTTGGTAGGTAACAATGAATAAATAGGCTTATTTATCAATTTGTTTTGGCATTTATATCATGTTCTTCTATACTAAAGGCCTATTCAAGATTGCAGATAGAAAAATAGAGAGGGAAGAAAAATGTACTTTTTTCAAAGTTTTGGCAAGAATTTACTACAATAATGAAAGGACAATAAAATATAATAGGCACAGCAGATAAAATATGAATTAGATACTCTCATTTTACAAAGGTTGTCAAAATACAGCAATCTGAAAGAAGATAATCGTGGGAGGTAAATTTTTTCTTTCTATTTCTTTTGGGTTAGGAAAACAAAAGGAGAGTCTTCTAAAAATGAGAAAAATCTTAGATGGGCATTGCATTTTTCCTCTGCTCATTTTCTTTTTGCTGTAATATACACATCAGGAACATACATGCCTCAGTGTACTGGAAAAAAAACAATTAGCCAAACTTCCCAGGCATAATTTGCCTCTTCTAAGTACACATCAAAAACAACATGTAAAATTCCGCCAGTGTGGACATTAGAATAGCTCAGATTTTATGCCCAAGATTGAATTTTAAATTTTATTAAGCAAAAAAATTAAGCTAGCCTCATGAGCTGCAAAGATAAGTTCCCTGAATTATATCTCCAGAGGTTTGTTTCTCTTTTTCTTTGGTTATTGCTTTCTTCCATTCTTTATAATTTGTTAATCCATACTTTTCTTTATTTCTAATATCTTTATCCCTAATTATTTGCTATTCCCATAACTGCTATAGATACCAAGACAAAACAGGGTTTTTAATTATAGTAAACTTATTTAATTTATTTATAAAATTTGAATGGCAGCATTTAAACTTCTGAAAATCAAAAATGTAGATTTTTAGTATTCAGAACGGTAGATAGGTGTGAGTTTTATTTAATAATAACTATAATATTTAAGTATTTGTGACTTGGAATAGATGCATCCTAATTTTCAAAATGTTATTTAATGATAAAATATCACACAAATTTTCTGGAAATTCAATAGCATTTTGAGAAACATCACAGATTGTAGCTGTTCTGGCCAGTTCTTTTTATTTTTATTCTCTGGTCTTCTACAATGGGAGCTGTCAATTGCCTGCAATGGGAGGCTGAAGCAGGAAAGCTTTTTAATCCCAACAAAGATTTCTAGTCATATTTACCTTTCCTAACCAGCTCTCTTACTCTAATTTCTCATGTCAACAGATTTTTTTTTTCAAAGCACCAAAGCAAATTTCATGTGCGTTAACACAAGCATTTAATAATACTGCTACCTTGCAAGTTACTGTGAACTTTATGTGAAGCTACTTGGCCAGCATCTGTGCTCAAAGAAGGGAAAACCTTCTTTACAGAGCTCCACCTAAGCATTTGATTATCATTCTTTCTGAAGCAAAACTAATCTTGAGAATCCACCCCCCAAAAAAAGAAGAATCTGTGCAACCCAAGCATTGCCCCCAAACAGCTAAATGTGAAACTACATAAAGATGTTTACTGACAGACTAATAAACAAATGGATCCATCTCAATGTAACCTTGACGAATGGCGCATCCAGGTGTTTTCAATAATGGCCATAAGCACTACAACTCAGAGTATTTCTGATTCCAGTATAATGCATTATTAGGCCATTAGAGGCTGAGGATCGAGGACCATTTGTACTCAGGCCTATCAATAATGCTGCTTCCCAGCTTACTTTTAGACCAGGGGAATTAGTCATACTGATATTCTATTTAATAAAAACCTAAAGAAGCCGCATCAAGAATCGCATTACATTTTAACAGGGTTACAGCAGCCCGGGAGGACCACAAGTTTAATTTTCATAAGAGCATTCATTCCTCAATTATGTCAAACATGAAAATGTAAATGGCAAATTTAATGCTAACAATATCCCTCAAAGCACATTGGCAGGTAGCAGCCATTATGTTGAACAAATGTAGGCAGCATAGCAAGCAGGAAGAAGAAAATTTAGCAGGGAAGGGAATCAACAGCAAAGTTGAGTTTTACCAATTAAGCTGCAGAGATGGGCTCAGAGATCATCCAATATGCATGTGGACAGCAAAGTTTCTCTTTCTCTTCCTCCTGAAGGTATTTACTGATGGTGCAAGGCATAATTAATTTGGGTTGGTAGCAACAGCCAGAGAAACACGTAATAAGCTTCTTGACATTTCTTCAGATAAATGGAATGGTTCAATTTTAGTCACTTTGTTCATAGGTTGGCTTGTGTCTTATGATTTTCCCTTAGCTTGGATCCTCTTTACCTTCCAAGCCACTGACAGCCAATTTTATTATCAATCTCTACTGTTATTGTTGTGTGTTGAGTTCGTTGAGGCATAGACCAGACCGATGTAATACAACTATTCTTTATTGCTGAAAACACAGAAGTGGCTACGACAACCACTTGACATCTATTTACACAGTGCCGCCGCTAGGCGGCGACCAATCATTTTAAAGAACAATTTCCCGTTTAAATTGCAGGCTAGCAGTTTGCTCCATGACAGTTGGAGACTCTTTTCAAACAAACACAACAATGGATCATAACAACTATTAATGACTAACCCAATACATTACACCCCTTCCCCCTGGATAAATCAATACATTGCAACGTATGAACATAATCACTCAAATATGCAGGCGGGTTCTACAAGCCTCCTTGTTGGGCCAGGTAGACCAGGGTCCCTTGGCCCGATCGCTTCGGAAAGACTGGTACCTTGTTGATCGTTCTGGCTGGGTAGACTGGTGCTGCCATGTCCATTATTGCCGGGTAGACCAGTGCCACTGTCTTTGTTTGCGATACTGCCTGATGGACTCGGGACAGGGTTCGTTGGCGACCCCAATTCTGCAGGCATAGTCTCAAAAGTTTTGGGTGGTTCAGGTGTGGCCCGGTCACCAGGCAACCCACTAATCTCTTCTCTGTCAGCGGCCAGGCTCTAGCTAGCCTGCCGCCACCACAATTGGTCTATGTGGCATCGAACCACACAACCATCATCCAGGGCCACTTCATAAGACAGTGGCCCTGACACCTTTGAAACCACAGCTACCACCCAAAGTGTCCCCAGCCCATAGTTTCTCGCCCATACTTTCTCACCAAGGTGCAAACTTCTTGGAGGCTTGGGTTGCGATGTTTCTGCAGCAGCCCTGTCAGGGTGGAGATGGTCCAGCTTGGTGGTCAACTGACGTCCCCATCTCAGTTCTGTTGGACTGTGGCCCATAGTGGTGCAAGGAGTAGTATGTTGGCAGAGTAGAAAATCTGCTAAGCGATGATGCCAGTCACCTGTCATTAATTTCTTCAGTGCTTCTTTGGTCGTTCTGACCATTTGTTCTGCTTGTCCATTTGAAGCAGGATGAAAGGGAGCTGAGGTAGCATGTCAGATCATGTTTGTCCTCAGGAAGGACTGGAACTCAGCTGCTATGAATTGGTTCCCATTATCAGACACAATCACATCTGGCAAGCCGTGTGGGGCAAAGATTCTGCGCAGTGCCTGAATGGTCCTGACAGTAGTCATAGATGGGACAGATGCTACCTCTAGCCATTTAGAGTAACTATCTACAACAATGAGAAACACCTGTCCTTGGAAGGGTCCTGCAAAGTCTATGTGCATGCGAGACCAAGGAGTTTGTGTGGCCTCCCAGCGATGCACTGGTGCTTGAGGCATTTCTGGTCGGGTCTCCTTACAGACTTGGCAACTCCTTATTTGAGCCTCTATGTCCTTATCCAGGTCAGGCCACCACAAGTAACTCCTAGCAAGTGCCTTCATTCTAACTATGCTTGGATGACCCTGATGCAGAGATTCTAAAATTCTGGCTCTTAATGTGGGTGGGACTATCACCCTGCTTCCCCATAGCAAGCAGCCTTTATGAGCTGACAGCTCATTTTTTCTGCTAGTGAAACTATGAAATTCTGGACCTAGTCTGCTATCAGGCCACCCCCTCAACACTCAGTTCAGAACATGACTGAGTGTTCTGTCAGTGGCAGTTTCAGCAGCCACATCTCCTGCATGAAGGGAAGTCTCAGAGAGATCCTGGATTGCCAGGATGAGAGCTGCAGATGCTGGGTCAGGGTCTGTGTGAGGCAAAGACAGTTGGTTGAGTGCATCAGCATGGCCCATTTCCTTGCCTGGCTTATGGACTAGCCTGTAAGAATAGGCAGCCATGAATATTGACCATCGCAGCATCCTAGGAGAAAGGATCTGTGGGGTCTGCTTGTCTGCTGTAAAGAGTCCTAAGAGAGGTTTATGATCCATGAAAATGGTGAAGGAGCACCCATATAGGAAGTCGTGGAATTTTTTAATTCCAGCTACAATGGCTAAAGCCTCTTTGTTTATCTGTGCGTAATTCCTCTCTGCAGGGGATAACATTCTGGAATAGCAAGCGATGGGTGCTTGATGCCCATCTGCCATTAGATGGCTTAAAACTGCTCCTATGCCATATGGTGAAGCATCGCATGCTAAATTGACAGGTAATTTCTCATTGAAGTGAGCTAGTACTGAGCTTGATGACAGCAGTGATTTGACTGCTTTAAAAGCTTTTTTGTGGGTGTTTGTCCACTCCCACAATGCTTTTTTATCCAGAAGCTGATGAAGCGGCTCTGCCAAAGCTGCCTTGTGTGGCAGGAATGAATGGTAGAAATTAAGTAGTCCTAAAAATGCCTGCAGCTCCCCTTTTGACTTAGGTCTGGGAGCCTATTGTATAGCTTTAAGCTTAGAGTCAGAGGGGTGGATTTCAGCAGCATCTATCCTGAATCCCAGGAACTCGGTAGAGTTCACACCAATTTAGCACTTTTTAACTTCAACCCCACTTCGTGGAACCGTTGAAGAAATGCTCTGAGACGTTCTGCTAAGACTGCTGCAGATTCCCCAGCAATCAGAACGTCATCAAAATAAGGGCACACACCTGGAATATTCTTAAATGTGCATTCTATTACACTCTGGAACAACCCTGGAGCAACATTTACCCCAAACTGCAGGCGACGAACCCTGAATGCCCCTCTATGTGTGACTATTGTCTGAGTCTCTGCAGTGGCATCATCCACAGGCAGTTGCTGATATGCCTGTGCGAGGTCCAATTTAGCAAATACACGACCTCCCTGCAGTGATGCCAGGAAGTGGATTATCACTGGAACTGGGTAAGCATGTTGCTGCAAAGCTTTGTTAATTGTGCATTTGTAATCAGCACAAATATGAATGTCCCCATTGGGCTTTACTGGGATCACTATGGGGGTTTCCCACACACTGCTATCTACAGGTTGAAGCACTCCCTGCTGTACTAACTTGTCTAGCTCTACATCTATTTTAGGCTTTAGTGCTAAAGGCACTCTGCAAGGTTTGATCCTGATAGGAGTTATTGTTGGATCAAGGTTAAGGGAGATTGGTGCTCCCTTGTATTGACCTAAATTAGGGCTGAACACATCCACAAATTCCTGGCACACAGCTGCTAGGTCAGTTGTTTGTGTGTGATTGATGCCGGTTACTCCGATGCACAGGGCATCAAACCAGTCCAGCCCAATCAAACTGGTGTGCTGGCCTTCAATGACCACGATGTTGAGGGGACCCTTGAACTCTTTGAAGCTGACTTTTACTGTGGCTTTGCCTTTCACCACTACACGGCAATTTTGAAAGTCTGTCAGAACAAGGCTTGGCGGTTTGAGTTGAACTTGTTTCCTGCCTTGTCTGCAGATGTAGCTAAACATTTTGTGAGAGATTATTGGCAGGGCTGACCCGGTGTCTAGTTCCATAGAACAAGGGACCCCTTGCAGCCTGATTTTAAGTCTCAGCTTCTCTTTGAGAGAACGTTGGGCTCCTGTCCTTAATATGTTTCTCCTTCTGGAGCAATAACCAACCCCATGGCCCATTTACCTCTCCGTGAGATGTCTTCGGTCAGAACTTCTCTCTGGCGACCTTTACAGACTCTGGCGATGTGCCCTTGTTTGCCACAAGCACGACACCTTGCAGTGCGGATTTTGCACTCAGACCTCTTGTGCTGTTCGCTGCAACTAGCACAGCTAGGGAATAAAACTGCCTTGTCAATGGGACGATGCCGTCTGATGGGTTGCTTCTGTAACCGGTTGATCTCATCACCCTCATCTGGGTCTTCCAGTATTTCTGTAGTTTCGTGGTGCACAGTTGCCTGGCTGATGGGAGTCTTCTGAGGTCGTAAAGCCTTCATTGCTCCACATGTGGCCTCATCTGCCATGACCTCCTTTAACGCATCCTGGAAGTCAGCATTTCCTTTGCGAAAAGCCTCTGTTGCAAATCTCGATTCCTCAGGCCACACACGAGTCTGTCTCTGATTCGATCCTCTAAGTCAGGAAACTTGCAGAGTCTTGATGCTTGTCTTAGTGCGGCCATGAATGCAGCTGCTGACTCCCCTGCCTGTTGCTCTCTTTGCTCAAATGCATGCCGCCAAGCAATAATGGACAGCCTGGGTTCAAAATGTTCCTTTAGCCTCCTCTTCAGATCAGTGTATGTGACTGTTTCTAAGCTGGCTGGGGCAATCAGGTTCTCCGCGATGTCGAAGTTTGCCTGCCTGCACACACAGAGCAAGGTTGCTGCCTTCACCCATCGCCTCTCACCTGGTTGGCCCGCAGGTAGCTCTCCACCCTGGAGGCGTAGGAGCTCCATTGTTCAGAGTGAGAAACATCAAATTTGTTCAGCTTGCCCACTTTGGCCATAGCTGATATTCACGAGGTCTTGGTCAATGTCTTCTGCTGCTAGGAGCTGCTAGGTAAATCCTGGGGACGGATCCCTCAAGAATACTGTGCCTCCAGTGTGTCTTTACTGGCAGGCAGGGTGGGGACGTGGTCCCTACCAGGCTCTGGTGCCTGGTCTCACACCCTAGTGACTTCTGGCTAAGTGCTTCAGCTCTCTTTCTCCTTAGCAGCATCCCACCTTCGTCGCCACTGTTGTGTATTGAGTTCATTGAGGCATAGACCAGACCGATGTAATACAACTATTCCTTATTGCTGAAAACACAGAAGTGGCTCTGACAACCATTTGACATCTACTTATACAGTGCCACCACTAGACAGCAACCAATCATTTTAAAGAACAATTTCCCATTTAAATTGCAGGCTAGCAGTTTGCTCCGTGACAGTTGGAGACTCTTTTCAAACAAACATAACAAGTATTAATGACTAACCCAATACATTACAGTTATGACTATGATTATAAGTAAGATCTTAAAATCACCAAAGCCACATTTTCATCTGTGTGTTCAAATTTTTTTATTTTCTCATAGTTTTTAACTAATTTTTAATTTTATTTTCTAACTGCTTCAAAGCCATTGGGTTTCAATTTGTCTTAAGATGACCCAGAAACTTTTTTTTCTTTCTTTCTTTCTTTCTTTCTTTCTTTCTTTCTTTCTTTCTTTCTTTCTTTCTTTCTTTCTTTCTTTCTTTCTTTCTTTCACTCAGACAACCCAACACTGCTGTTTCTCTGAAAATAGTTGCAACAACTTAGCAAGTCATTGTTGTCCATTGTCTCAATTTAACATAATTTCATAAGATAAGCAACTGAAAGTTAGAGCTCCCAGAGTAAAACAAGATTGTTTATTCAATTAACATAATCTCTGATTTTGAAGTGGGAAACAATACAAAGGTAGCGCCTCAGATAGAAATTGCTGAGCAGTCTTAAGCAGTTTTATAGAGAGCCAAGGGAGGCAGAAAAATCTCTTGACTGCTTTTGCCTGAATCAATGGTTCACAAACAAAAGAATGCAGGGACAAGTTTGAAAAACTGAGTTCTCAAGGGAAATATTGAAATGGCCAAAGAGGATGTTTGTTAATTACAGTTTCTGAATTATTTAAGGGCAATTCTTACAGAATATTACTGTATTGTATTCTGTCTCTGTGATTACTAACATATAGATTAGCAGAGGTAAATATCTCTTTTCTAAAAAAAAAAAAAACACCCAAATCTTTGCACCAGAAATTAAAAAGTAAGAAGGAATTCCTTGCAAATTCTGTCCTCTAACTGTGAAAAAATTAGGTGGGTTTCCATTTATGGGCTCTTGTGTTTATTAGTAATATTGCCCTCTATGTTCAAAATCAAAATTGTTTCATGTTCAGCTAATGACAAATAAAACCAAAGGTCATCAGCAAATTTGTAAGGTCCAATTTCACAATTGCCAATGACTTCCTGGTTGCCCCACAGACCTTTGGGAGCAGCCTCAACAGACACTGTCAAAGATGGTTCCCAGACTGAGGGAAAAAAATCAGAAAGACTCCACCTTAATGTACACAAGAATATATTGCTTCTAAACTGAAAATAGTTTAATTACTGGAATTTTGTAATGTCATCATATCCATTTCAGTAAATCTTGCTTAAGAGAACTTGGTGTGATTCATGCTCTTACAAAAAAAATAATACTTTCAATTTAGGCAGCTCTCAAAGAGCCCCACTGAGACCTCTGGTGTATCTCACACAGAAATATCTCAGGCGTAGATTTAAGTGCCCCCAGTTCTCATTGAATATGATCTAAGATCCAATTGGACTGACCCAGCGGTGGGATTCCAGCCAGTTCGCACCACTTCGGCAGAACCGGTAACTAATTTTTTGTTGCCCAGGCCCAGAATGGATTTCTGGAAGTGGCATCCATACAGAGAACCAGTTGTTCACATATTTGAATCCCACCACTGGACTGGCCCATATTAAGGTACCTTTAGGTATCTTTAGCTTAGGCTTTGAAAAAGACACTTACTGAGAATCTAGGACAACTCACCACAGCCAATTCGCTGTGGGACAACTCAGTACTGGATAATTTTTGTTAATGGAAATAATGTCAAAGAAACAATGGTGGATAACATTTATTGCACTGAGTTATCCTGTGTGGAATTGTCCCTCAGTGAGTGGTCCTGCAGCAAGATGACCACAACAAGCCAGCCATGCTGGGTTAGCCATGGCAAGATGGCTGCAGAGAGCTGGCCGCAATGAGTTCTCCTATTCCACTTACTGACCCCCATATATTCTGGCAAAAGTGAGTTCAGATGAAATGAATGACTGCATTTAATTACACTAACCTGCAAAGTGTCTATGTCATATAAGTGGAAGTAGTTTAAGTTGTTCATTCTTTACTTAAGAAATAATGATTCTATCTAATTTCTTGATTCTCAG